AAATGAACTATTGGGACTTCATCAAGATAAGAAGCTTTTGCACAGCAAAGGATACAGTCAACAAAACTAAAAGACAACCTACAGAATGGGAGGGGATATTTGCAAATGACATATCAGATAAAGGGCTAGTTTCCAAGATCTCTAAAGAACTTATTAAACTCAACAGCAAAGAAACAAACAATCCAATCATGAAATGGGCAAAGGACATGAAGAGAAATCTCACAGAGGAAGACATAGACATGGCCAACATGCACATGAGAAAATGCTCTGCATCACTTGCCATCAGGGAAATACAAATCAAAACCACAATGAGATACCACCTCACACCAGTGAGAATGGGGAAAATTAACAAGGCAGGAAACCACAAATGTTGGAGAGGATGTGGAGAAAGGGGAACCCTCCTGCGCTGTTGGTGGGAATGTGAACTGGTGCAGCCACTCTGGAAAACTGTGTGGAGGTTCCTCAAAGAGTTAAAAATAGACCTGCCCTACGACCCAGCAATTGCACTGTTAGGGATTTACCCCAAAGATTCAGATGCAATGAGACGCCGGGACACCTGCACCCCGATGTTTCTAGCAGCCATGTCCACAATAGCCAAACTGTGGAAGGAGCCTCGGTGTCTATCGGAAGATGAATGGATAAAGAAGATGTGGTTGATGTATACAATGGAATATTCCTCAGCCATTAGAAACGACAAATACCCACCATTTGCTTCAACGTGGATGGAACTGGAGGGTATTATGCTGAGTGAAGTAAGTCATTCGGAGAAGGACAAACAGTGTATGTTCTCATTCATTTGGGGAATATGAATAATAGTGAAAGGGAATATAAGGGAAGGGAGAAGAAATGTGTGGGAAATACCAGAAAGGGAGACAGAACATAAAGACTCCTGACTCTGGGAAACGAACTAGGGGTGGTGGAAGGGGAGGAGGGCGGGGGGTGGGGGTGAATGGGTGACGGGCACTGAGGGGGACACTTGACGGGATGAGCACTGGGTGTTATTCTGTATGTTGGTAAATTGAACACCAATAAAAATTAATTTATTAAAAAAAAAGTAATCGCTCTGCTCACAGTGCTGTGTGGAAATCGCCTTGTACTCTCTGTAAGGCCCCCGATGAGCGATACCAGCGAGACATCAATAATGGCTTATGATACCCAAATCCTGCAAGGGACACACGAGTGCGCTTCGGCACCTTCAGCTGAAATTCCTCCTCCCCTAAGGCTGATAGATCTTTTGAGTTTTGTCCTTTCAGGAGTGCAGCCTGTGACCCATTTTCTTTTCACACAGAGAAATCATCTCTGTTTATTCCTAGCCCCCCTCCGCCCCCCAGTAAAGGTCTGGGGGAGAAGACCGGTTAAAAGGGTTAAGGCCAAGTTCAAAGGAAGCGTGGGGATTACAGGATTTACTCGTTGCTTCTAATTGTCCACACTGGATATGGTGAAGTATTGTGCATGATCTAGTTTTTGTCTCGCAACCCATCTCTAGAAATAAATACAGATTTGAACTATGTCTCATAGGCACCTATTAGTCGATGACACAGTGGTGACTTCCATTCTCCTACTTATAATTATAAAAAGTTTTGCAATAACAGGAACTTTGGCTATGGGAGTGGTTCTACAGATGGTAAAACTGCCCTTATCCGTTTCCAACAGGCAAATGCGTTTGAGGAAAAGAGATAGTCCTTGGATCATAATCAACCTAAGTAGTATCTGTACTTTGACCGACGAAGCACAGCAGCCGATGTCACCTTGATGACAAGGTGGGGGGAGGGGATAAGAAAGCAGAAGTCTTTCTTTCTCTTCACCCATTTTCTCTCCGTGACTATCTCAAAGTGCCGTTTGCTAAGATTAGGCAAGAGACACAAGCAGCGACTGTAGAGAAACGCCCCAAATAGAATCACTGGTGTCACCCTTGAGCTTTGGTAGATGCACCTGGGTGTCCGCAGCCATGGCCCGGCGCAAGGGTGAGGGAGGGACCCACGGGACATAAGGAAGAGTGCGCGTGCGAGGCAGGTGTGTGGTGCTGTCCGCACCTCCCGTGGAGGAGGCCTGGGGAAATCCAAGTCCTTTGCCAGGAGGTGGGGGCTCGGCGCTCCCACACCGGGCTCCCGCGCCCCGCAGCGGTGCTTCCCTTCGCTCCGCCCGCGCCCTCCCCAAGGCCTCCACTCCCACCCCGCGCGTCTCCCACGGAGTCCAGGGGCGGGGGGCCCGGCGGCCTCGGTCGGGGTGGGGGGGCCATCGCCTGGCAGGAGAGGGCGACCACCCGCAAGTTCTTCGGCCACATTAGGAGCCGGGCGGGTGGGGGGCGCGATGGGGGCGCAGGGCCCGGGGCACAGGCAGACGGCGAGGGGCGGCGGCTGCTCACGTGTTCCAGGGGCGCGTGTCTCGACGGTGCTCCGTGTGGGCGCGCATCCCTCCCCGTCCAGGGGGTCCTCCCCAGGGGCTCACCTTCTGGACCCAGGCGGGGTCGCCTCAGACGGTTTTGAGGTCCAGGGGAACCTCCCCCGACCCTACCCCGCTGCTCCCCCCGCGCCCCCCCCCCGGGAGCCGCGGAGGCTCCACCCCGGCGCGGGGGGCTCCAGCAGCCGCCGCTCCAGGGCGTCGCTCGGCCTCCTGCCCCGACTCAGCTGCGGCGTCGGCGTCAGCCCCGGGGCTCGGGCGACCTACGGCGGCGCCTTCACACCCCGAGGTCCCGACCCCCGGGGCACGGCCGCCGCCGCCGCCTCCCGACCACCGGCGGCCCCCGGCCCCCCCCGCCCGCCGGCCCCCCCCCGCCCTGGCCGAGCCCCACCCCACCCCACGATCCGGGGCCTCCTACCTTGGCCGGGACCCCCTGCGGGACCCGCCCCAGAGCCCCGAGAGCCCGCAGCCCGCGGCGGCGTCTCACCTGCGCCCAGCTATGCGCCTTCCGCAGCCCGCGCGCCGACTGTTGCGGCCGCCCGGGCAGGTGCGAGCGCCCCGCCCGCCCCGCCAGCCCCGCCCCGCCCCGCCCGCCCCTCCACGCCCCTGTGGGGCCTCTGGGAGGGACCTCCTGGCCTCCTGGCCTCCCGGCCTCCTGCTCCCGGCATCCAGGCACCCGCTCCTGGCTCCCGCTCCTGCTCCCGTCTCCCGCTCCCTGCTCCCTGCTCCCTGCTCCCGCTCCCGGCCTCCGCTCCTGGCTCCTGCTCCCGGCCTCCGCTCCTGGCCTCCCAGACTCCTACTCCCAGCCTCCCAGCTTCCGGCTCCCAGCTCTCCCTCCTGCTCCTGGCTTCCAGCTCCCAGCCTCCTGGCCTTCCAGCCTCCCACTCCTGGCTCCCATTCCGGCTCTTGCTCCCTCTCCCAGCTCCTGGCCTCCACTCCCTGCTCCCGCTCCCAGCCTCCCAGCTTCCTGCTCCCGGCCTACGCTCCCAGCTACTGGCTTCCTGACACCTGCTCCCGGCTCCTGCTCCCTGCTCCCTGCTCCCAGCTCCCACCCCTGGCTCCTGCTACCGGCTCCCGTTCCTGGCTCCCAGCCTCCCAGCCTCCCAGCGTCCCACTCCTGGCTCCCAGCCTCCTGGCCTCCCAGCTCCTGCTCCCGGCTCCCGGCTCCCGGCTCCTGGCTCTTGCTCCCACTCCTGGCTCCCAGCTCCCACCCCTGACTCCTGCTACCAGCTCCCGTTCCTGGCTCCCAGCCTCCTGGCCTCCCAGCCTCCTGCTCCCCACCTCCGCTCCTGGCCTCCTGTCACCCGCTCCTGGCTCCTGCTCCTACTCCCTGCTCCTGCTCCCAGCTCCTGCACCCGGCTCCCACTCCAGCTCCTATTCCTGCCTCCTGGCTCCCGCTCCCAGCATCCTGCTCCCGGCTCTTGCTCCTGGCCTCTCAGCCTCCCGGCCTCCTGGCCTCTGCTCCCAGCCTCCCAGCCTCCTGCTCCCGGCCTCTGCTCTGAGCTCCTGCTCTGGCTCCGGCTCCCAGCTCCCACACCTGACTCCTGACTCCTGGCTCCCATTCCTGCTCCCAGCTCCTGCCCCCGGTTCTGTTCCCGGCTCCCACCCTCCTAGCCTCCTGCTCCCGGCCTCTGCTCCTGGCTCCCCAGCCTCCTGCTCCCGGCCTCCAGGCTCCCACTCCCAGCTCCCATCCCGTTCCAGCTCTAGCTCCAGCTCCAGCTCCCGGCTCCCAGCATCCCGCTCCCTGCTCCCGCTCCCAGCTCCTGTTCTCGGCTCCCTCTCCCTCTCGGGCTCCCGGCCTCCCCGCCCCCCCCCCCACCTGGCTCAGCTCCCGGCTCCCCTCCCGGCTCCCGCTCCCCCTCCCCGCCCCCGCCGCCCCGCCGCCGAGCCCCGCCCCACACGCGCCCTGAGCCCTGCTCCTCCGGGGGTGGGGTCCCGGCACCCAGGGCGGGCGGCGCCCAGCGTGACCCCCCGGGAAGCAAGGCGGGGCCGGAGCCTGGGCGGAGGGAGCCCCGGGGCGCAGGGGCTGTTCGGGGGACGCAGCAGCGGCGGCGGCGAGCGGTCCCGGGGTCCGTGGGGCAGAGGCCGGCGGGTGTCCCTGCAGCCCGGGCCTTTCCCGCGCGCTCCGGGCCCCGCGCCGGCCCTGCCGCCTCCGTCCCGCGGTCCCAAGCCGTATGGCCGCTGCGGACTCCGGTTGTTTGAAACATTGAGTTCGCGTGTCAATCAATGAAGATAAATACAGGCTTGATTTCGCATCCCCCCCCCGCCCCAAACAAAAACCATACAAAAGCTCAGGGTCACTAGGTCCTTCCTCCGCGCATCCTCCAGGTGTGGCGCCCGCGGGCCGCAGGCTCTGGGTGCTGGGGACCCAGCGCGAGGAAGTCCCTGCGGGGGGGCGGGGGCTGGCCCCCGCGAAGACACCCCAGCTCGGGTAGTAGACCCTGGGCCTCGGCGCCCCCACCTGCGAGTTACGGGGCTGCCCCGCTCTTAGTCCCCCTGGAAGTTACAGGCCCCCCTTAGCGGGAGCCAGGGCCCCGCTTCGCACCTACTGACCCGAGTCTGGGGAGGATCAGGGCAGAAGGACCTGCTGCTCAGGGTACCTCGGTGCGCAGAGAAGTCAGGGTCCAGGACCTCCCTTCCAGCTTATTCCATCGTGGTCCCTGCTGGAGAACAAGAAAGGCTTCAGGGAAGATGCTCTATGTGGGTCTGAAAGAAAGGCAACGGATATGCAGGATACAAGAGCAGCGGGGCAGGGCCGGGATCCCAAATACAGCTCCTTTTGATCACATAGCTTTTCTTTCCCATAAAGTCGAAGGGAGGCACTTTCGAGAATAAAGCATCTTTCCTCTGTAACAGCAGGGCAAACCAGGCCTGTGGAAGAGCAGGGCGAGAGCGCTGCGGCAGCCCGAGGGTAAGGGCCCCGCGCCCCTGCCGGAGCACCACTTTAATTTCCTATCAACTTGGGAGTTTATTTAACCACCAGGCCTCATCTTGGCACTAGCTCATGTCCACTGTTTTTGAGAAGGTGGAGTCCTGGATGTCTGTTACCCAGGGAGACTGTCCCCTGTCGCTAGCTCCCTGCAAGGGCCAGGCTCTCTCTTGAGTGACATTTTCCTCTAAGGCTTTGAGGATGAGACAGGCCTGTGACCTCTCTGTTGTAGTTACTGGTGGGTAGAGATTCTTCTTCTTCTTCTTCTTCTTCTTTAAAAACCTTTTATTTATTTATTTGAGAGAAAGAGAGAGTGAGAGAGCGAGCACAAGCAGGGGGTAGGGAGATGCAGTGGGAGAAGCAGACTCCCTGATGAGCAGTGAGCTGGATGCCGGGCTGATCCCAGGACCCCGGGGTCAGGGCTTGAGCCGAAGGCGGCCCCTGAACCCACTGAGCCACCCAGGTGCCTACCCTGAGATGCTTCTTAACACTGAAAAATTGGAACTGAGAAAATTGTGTATGCCTCCAATGATAATATCCAAGTGCCAGGACAGACTAGTTTTTACAAAGTAAGTTAGACTGTCTTTAACTTGGTCTGTGAGAATAACACAAATCAAGTAGCTTAAACAGTTAACAAAAGATAAATTACTAATATATCAACAGCCACGAATGAATACCAAACAGCTACCAATTATGAGAAAGCCGTTTAATATAACAATGAAACAGATTAGTGTCTAGAAACAGATCCAAGTGTATGTGGGTCTTGATAAACACAAAGATCGCTTCTTCTTCTTTTTTTATTTATTTTTTATTTATTTTATTTTATTTTATTTTATTATTTTATTTGACAGAGAGAGAGAGAGAGAGACAGAGAGCACAAGCAGGGGGAGCTGCAGGCAAGGGAGAGGGAGAAGCAGGGTCCCCTAGCAGCAGGAAGCCAGATTCAGGCCTCCATTCCAGGACCCTGGGACCATGACCTGAGCCGAAGGCAGATGCCGACCTGACTGAGCCACCCAGGTGCCCCCACAAGGATGGCTTTTAATTCAATGGGAAATTGTTTACTTTATAAATATTGCTGGCATAATGGACTATTCTTTTGGAAGATCTTACAGGCTTGCTCATTATCCAATCTTTTACTCTGTTAGTGTCTATGGATGCAAAAAGTTTTAATTTTGATAAAATTCAATTTTTCTAAAAAAAATTCAATATTCTATTTTTGCTTTTGTTGCCTATGCTCTTGATGTCATACCGAAGAAATCACTGCCAAATTCAATGTCATGAAGATTTCCCCTTACGTTCTCTTTTAAGATTTGTATAGTATTAGTTCTTATGTTTGAATCTTTTATTCATGTTGACTTAATTTTTGTATATGGTGTTAGGTAAGGATATAACTTCATTTTTTTAATTAATTATTTATTTATTTATGATAGTCACACACAGAGAGAGAGAGAGAGGCAGAGACACAGGCAGAGGGAGAGGCAGGCTCCATGCACCGGGAGCCCGACGTGGGATTCGATCCCGGGTCTCCAGGATCTTGCCCTGGGCCAAAGGCAGGCGCCAAACCGCTGAGCCACCCAGGGATCCCGATATAACTTCATTTTTAAAAAAGATTTCATTTATTCATGTGAGACACAGAGAGAGGCAGAGGGAGAAGCAGGCTCCCTGCATGGAGCCCAATGCAGGACTTGAGCCTGGGACCCCGGGACCCCTGCCCCGAGCCAAAGGCAGATGCTCAACCACTGAGCCCCCAGGTGTCCTTAACTTCATTCTTTTACGTGCGGATATCTAGTTTTCCCAGCACCATTTGTTGAAAAGATTGTCCTTTCCCCATTGAATCATCTTGGCAGTCTTGTAAGAAAAAAAAGATCACTTGACCTTATATGCAAGGGTTTATTTCTGGGATCTCTGTTTTTACACTGAATGTTTGTCTTTGTGCCAGTACCACACTGTTTTGATTATTGTCACTTTGTAGTGAATTTCAGGTCAGGAAGTATGAGTCTTTCAAATTTGTCCTTTTCAAGATTGTTTTGGTTATTTGGGATCCTTGAGATTCCATATGAGTTGTAGGATGAATTTTTCTATGCCTACAAAAAGAAAAATCTTTGGGATTTTGTTAGGGATTGCACTGACTCTGTATGTCAGAGTTGTATGATATCTTTCTTTCTGAATCCTGGAGAACGTCCTAGAAGCATTCTGTCTATGTCTGCTAGATCCAGTTTATTTTTTCTTTTCTTTTTGTTTGTTGCTTTGTTTCACAATGATGTGGTCACGCAGACTTACAAGCACAGGGTGTGTGTGTTGCATGTGTGAGTAGAAAGGAAGGTGTGGAGGGCTACTTTGGTTACCTGGTGAGAATAACACTGGGGGGGAGAGAGAACTTCTTTTCAGAAGGGTGCTCCAAGCTGAAGGCTGGTGAGGCCAAGGGAACCTGGGTTGCTATGTGATGACCATCCCTGGCATGGCCTCAGAGGCAGCTGAGCAGTGGAGACTGTTGTTTTCCACTAATCCTCTTGCAGAAATCACGACTGGCCAGTGCATGAAAGGAAGCTCTGTGCTGGATGGGACTTGAGCCCGAGTGGCTCCAAGTGAGCAGCATTAGCCCTCTCCTGTGCGAGCCTCCAAAATCATCTCTGTCACACTTCTCAGTTTCGTGGAGGTGGCTGTGAGCTTTGTCAGGCTTGAGCAGCCCCAGAGTGCTTCCCTGCCTGTTTGTGCTCTCATCTCTGGCTTCCTGCCTGGGCCTTCCTTGAGGCTCGCAGGCTGTGGAACACTGGCAGGACTCCACTTGGTGGTTGGAAGGTACGACTGGGAACTTGGGAAGAATAAATGCCCATGAAGCCACTCCCCATTGGTGGGGAATGGTATCTAAGCAATGAATGTGTTCCCCTTTCATCCCATGAGTAACGGTTGGTTCTGATACATACTTTGAAAAACTCCAGAAATACCAGTCAGGAAAGAGGTCCCAGTGGCCAACTAGTCCCTTCTTCCTGTGCCACTCCACTCGTCTTTCACTCCTGTGTCTGGAATCACCTACCCTAACACACCCAAATCACCTACACAGATGTTTTTCTCTGGCTCTGACTTGGGGAAATCTGGGTGAAAAGAGGAGCTTTGTCAAAAGGACACAGAGGCCAGCTTGAGGGAACACTCTGAAGGTGGGGCCATTTGGAGAATCTGATAGGCTGCCAACAATTCATAGGAACATATGGAAAACATGAATTCATAGTGATGTTTAAAAGAGAAAGAGAAATCACACTTGGGTAGAACACAGTGTGTTGGGTACGAGTCCCAGGAGGGTACCCTCAAGGCACAGAGGGCAGTGCTCATCACGCCGTCAACTCCCCGGGGAGAGATCCAACGTCCTGCCCACTGCGTCTTGGTCTCATAGTCAGCCAGGACCCCACAGCACAGCACTGGGTGGAATGAGGCTTTACTTGTGCAGAGAAGAGCAGAGCGAGCTCAGGTCTAACAGTCCTGGGTCCCCTCCAGCCCCAGCGGCCCATGTAGGGCAGTTGGTTGATCCACACCCCTCTTACGCCAGCGCAGAAGGACCCCAGCTCCTCTGCCAGAGAGGGGGGGAACGGAAGGGTGGGGGTGCCTGGGGGGCACCGATGCACAGTCTTAAGCAGAACAAAGGGGCACAGGCTGCGTTTGGAGCAGGGAAACGTTTCCGCACAAGGCTGTAAGCCCAGCACGTTTGTGTGGGCCCTCTGTCTCTTGTTCCATGTTTATGGGGCCTTGTGGAGTTGGAAGGCTGCACGTGAGACTGCCTTTCCTGGCCTCCACCCCTCGGTCCTCACCCGGCCACTGAAACAGCAGATGAAACCTATCAAATCCAGCAGGACCATTGCCCATCTTGAATTTGGAGGTGAAGTCGGGTCCCCTGAGGCCCCTAAATCGCCTATTATGTGGCTGTGCTTTGCTGCCTCTCTGTCATTTTGAGACAGCATCTTACTAGGGTCATTAGGAGGACCAGACCCAAGAGGGTGGCCAGGCCTTAACCAGGATGGTCCTCACCTGGGACCTTAGGTACTTGTGTTATTTCAACTAAAGATGTGAAAGAGTTAGTCTGGGGGGACCTGCGAGCTGGTAACCATTCCATCTGCGCCTGGATTTTCTACAGTGTGGTTTCCGCCTTCCCTGAATTATTGATATTACGCTGCTAGAGGCCTTGGCGATCGCACAGCCGCGCCCTGTTCCATCACCACTGGGGTGAAATCCCAACGCCCCATCTGAGGGTGACAAGCACTTCATAGGCCAGTGTAACCCCTCAGAGAACATCTAACTCAGAGGAGCACACGTCAGTCTGGTTGGGAAGCGCTTGTCAGAAGAGTCTCCAGGCCGATTGTATGAAGCTTATGTCTGGTTTAACTACAAGGTTAGGTGGTGAAGTTGCATGATGTCTGACGGTCCCATACCATCGGTGACATTTAAAGTCTGCCTCTCGCTTGATGTCTCTGGTCCAGGAAAGCTTCGTGCATGGGGTACTAGGTGCCCTAGGGATCTGAACCTGCACTGAGGGTGTCAGTCTCTGATCAAAACCATTGATGGCTTGGGACTCCTGTCAGATTAGCAACAGGCCACATGTGGACTGTTGGAGTCTGGGAGGGAAATGCTCCAAATATGTGGGTGGCAGTTCCAGCAGCACTTCAGACCTTCCTCTTCTTTGGATGATTTGTGCCCATTGACAAGAATCCCAAGATTGTACTACCTCCTTAGTCCTGACATCTTCCA